CAGTGATGGCTAACCTTTTCAGCTTGGTGTGTCGAAAATCGGGAAAAAGTGTAGCCTTCCTCGGGTCGTGTGTCACTTCAAGAAATATCAATAATTTGGTTTATGACGGACTGGGCTGGGGTGATCACACAGGGCTGTGAAACTCGTCTCCCTGGTCTCAGGGCTGCAGGTGCAGGATGTGGGGATCGGAAGGCCACCTTACAGGGCTGTGAACCTCATGGATCTCCTTTCCTCCTGTAGCGTTCCTGAGGTAATGAAACTGACAAACCTCAGTTTATGGCGGCTAAAACTGGTTCTCTGCTGCAAAGATCTCGCGGCAGCGGTGACACCACGCCTCCACGCAACAAGCAGGGAGCAGGGATTGGAGCAGAGCACAGGCAGCCTCTAAATGTGCAGGTTTTCCCCACACCAACAGGTGTGTCAGTCAAAGTGCCTCGGCGTGTCACGAGTGACACGCATGTCATAGGTTAGCCATCACTGTTATAAGGCCTTGGTAAGGCCACACGTGGAATGTGGCATCCAGTTTTGGTCGCCACGATAGAAGAAACGACGTTGAGACTCTAGAACAGGAATGTCAAACTCAATTTCATTGAGGGCTGCATCAGGTGTCAGGTTTCCAAGGGATGAAATCCATTTCAAAAAGAAAAGAGCAACGTCCATCTTCCAAAACAATTTCTTTCATTGAGGAAAGCATCCGATTGGCAAAGTCTGTTGTAATTCCGGATCTGACACAACCCGGAATTACGCCACATAATATTGGAAATTAGAAACAGCCCCCCAAAAGTCACATTCCCCAATAGAAGTAAATGAACGTTGGCCCTGTGTCAACAATCTCCACCTCCGGGTCTCAGGAGGATCAGCTTTTGTTCTCGCGAGAAGAAGAACCACCTAGCCTAAACAACTCTATCTCCACTCTTCTCACCTTAAGAATGTGGCAAGCCCGAAGCCCATCCCCCCCACATAACCAGCAAAGAGAAAGAAAGAAAAGGAATATATAATAAGGCTAAATAAAATGGCTACGCATAGGTCAATTTCGGGTTGTGTTTGACCTCGGCGGGGCTGTGGTGGTGGGGGGGCATAGCCAATTTGGGCACGGCCAGCTCGGCCACTGTTTTCGGCTGCGGCCGCCTCCTGCAGCCCTCTGCCAGTGAAAATAGTCGAGGAGTCTGCCTGCCCTGAAAATAAAACGGGCCAGATGTTGCAAGGCGTGCCAGATGTTTAACCAGCCTCTCAGAAACGCCTCACCCTAAGTTTCCCGTGTTAATGACACCAAGCTGTTTTATTTTCACTTTTCTTTCAGGTAACTCCCTGATGAAGACCTATTTCCAGCAAAAAGGTACCCAACTAGGCTCTTAGGACAGGGGGTCTCCAAACCTTGACAATTTGTGGACTTCAAATCCCAGAATTCCCCAGCCAGCAACTTTACGACTTGTGGACTTCCAACTCCCAGAATTCATGGGCGTTGAAGTCCGCAAGTCGTAAAGTTGCCAAGGTTGGAGGCCATTTGTCTCGACAACACTGAGAAGCTTTTTAATCTCCTTGGTACAGGTGGCCTTTGACTTACAGCACTTAGTTTAAGTATGCCAGAGTTGGCTTCATTTAGGTCAGTGGTGGCTAACCTTTTTGGGCTCCTGTTCCAAAAATTGTGTGCGCGTGCCAGCGCCCAGAAGGCAATGTGCGCACGCCACACACACACACACACACACACACCTGCCATCGCCTTACCTACACTGTGCATCCCAGCTGATTTTTGGCCTGTTTGGGGTCTTTTTCGGCCTTCCAGGGGCTTGAGGAAAGCCTCTGCAGTCTTTGCAGGCCAAAAAAATGGGCCGATTTCGTCACTTCCGGTATTTCCGGAAATACAGGAAGTGATGAGACGGGCCTATTTTTCGACCTGCAAAGGCTGCAGAGGCTTTCCTCAAGCCTCTGGGAGGCCGAAAAAGGCCTCAAACATCAGCTGGGAGGGGCGCGCATGCGCAGTGAGGTAAGTATGCCGGCGGCTCGCATGCCGGCACAAATGGTTCTGCGTGCCACTGGTTCGCCATCACTGATTTAGCTTAATGCCGGCATGTTGCTCCTAATAAATCTTAGTTTTTTTGAAGCTTGGCTCGAGGCTCATGGTTTAATTGGGGCAATCTTCGGAACCCTGACACGTTCGAAGTGGCCACGGCACTGAGAAGCGACTTATAACTGTTTCTACAATGGTTGTAGTGTCCCCATGGTGGCGTGATCAAAATTCAAATGCTTTGGCCACCAATTCCTACTTATGACGGTTGTAGAGCCCCGGGATCCCCTTTTGCAACCTCCTGACAAGCAAAGTCAGGTGGGGTGCCCGATTCATTTAATGACCGTGTTACTAATTGGACAGGCGTGGTGATTCGCTTAACAGCGAATGTGGCAAAGAAGGTCGTAAATTCACTTAACAAAGGTTTTACTTAGCCACAGAAATCTTGGGCTCAATTGTGCTCGTAAGGCGAGGACTACCTGTATTATAATTATTATTATGTATTAAATTTATTGGCTGTCCATCTTACCCCATTGTAATTCTGGGTGGTTTACAGTATTAAAAAGATAAAAAAATGTATAACACCTGTACACAGTAAGAAGGAAATGATAAAAAGATAAACACACAAAAGCAGTAGCACTTAGACTTATATACCGCTTCATAATGCTTCCCAGCCCTCTCTAAGCGGTTTATAGAGTCAGCCTATTGCCCCTAAGGATCTGGCTCCTCATTTTACCGACCTCGGAAGGAGGGAAGGCTGAGTAAACCTTGAGCCCATCAGGATCAAACTGCTGACAATCTGTGCAGTTAGTCTCCAATGCTGCATTCTGCCACCAGAAGGAGGAAGAGAAAGAAGAAGTGGAAGAGGAAGGAGAAGGGAGAGAGGGAGGGGAGAAGGAGGGAGGGGGAAAGAAGAGGTCGAAGAAGGCAAAAGGAAAGGGAAAAGAAAAGAGAAGAAAGGAAGGGGAGAAGGAGGAAGGGGAAGAGAGAGAGAGAGAGAGGAAGACAAAGTGGAAGAGGAAGGAGAAAGGGGAGGGGAGGAAAGAACGGAGGGGAGGAGGAGGAAAGAAGAGCATGAATAAGCCAAAAGAAG